GCCCTCTAGCGCCATAAAATCTTAGGTATTCCACCTTTGAGGTTCTATATAGAACCTTTTCTTCTAAGAGTGTTTAAATCTCCTTTATAAATGCTTTACAGGGCATAACTAGTCCTCACTTTAGATGAGCTCAAACACAGTTAACTGACCACTACTCAATGCTTTATAACTACCTGAATTTACTAATTTAACGACAACTCCTAAATAACTGGTTTGTAAATAATGCTATACTTGCACTATATAAATTGTTCATTAATAAAGCATGAAAATACAATTATTAAACACATTATATATATGCTTACAAATCAAGAATAAAGCATTTATAGCTGTATTTATAAACTGCTTATTAATGTATATTAAAGGAGTCGTTCACTTTAAAAAAAAAAAAACTTTTGCTGATAATTTACTCACCCCCATGCCATCCAAGATGTCCATGTCTTTCTTTCTTCAGTCGAAAAGAAATTAAGGTTTTTGATGAAAACATTCCAGGATTTTCTCCATATTATGGACTTCAATGGGGTCCAAACGGTTCGAGGTCCAAAAGACAGTTTCAGCGCAAACTGTTCAAAGGGCTTTAAACGACACCAGACGATGAATAAGGGTCTTATCAAGCGAAACGAAAAAATAAATAACAAAGTTTAAGTTTTATAAGCTCAAATGCTCGCCTTGCTCTGTTCTGTGATGCAGGTTCGTGACTCTCCTGTTCGAACGCGTTCATGAACCAAATGACACGAAAAAAGATTTGTTAATTTTAACCTACAACATCGACCGACAAAGACTGACTGGAACAGGGAGAACTAAATACAAGGAGGAATCAAACATAACGAGGTGGATAACAGGTGAACAGGACGCTGAACGGGAGGCTGATGAGGGAGTGAGTTCAGGTGTGCAGACGAGAGGATCATGGGAAGTGTAGTGCAGGAGACGCAGACAGAACGGTGCAGACGAAGACTGTGACAATTTGAGCTTATAAAACTTAAACTTTGTTATTTATTTATTAAATGAGCGATCGTTTCGCTTGATAAGACCCTTATTCATCATCTGGAATCGTTTAAAGCCCTTTGAACAGTTTGCACTGAAAATTGAACCGTTTGGTCCCCATTGAAGTCCATTATATGGAGAAAATCCTGGAATGTTTTCATCAAAAACCTTAATTTCTTTTCGACTGAAGAAAGAAAGACATGGACATCTTGGATGACAGGGGGGTGAGCAAATTATCAGCAAAAGTTTTTTTTTAAAAAAGTGAACTACTCCTTTAATGCTTTATAAATTCTGAATTAACAGTTTACTAATAGCGTGCAGTTATTATAAAGTGTTACCTAGTTCTTCTACACACACTTGCATTCTTTACACCAAATTGAGGACATACGTCATGCAAGTAGAGTCAGCGAGTCAGCGAGTCAGTTCTGAAGTGTAAACTCTCATTTCTCTCCATTTGTATGCGTGAGGTTTTCATCAATGCCTGAAGACTCAGTCTAGTGAGCCTTTCTCTGATAAAAGAGTGAACGAGAGAGGTGTTCAATATGACACCATTTCATAATCTGTGTATTTATGCACATTGCCAGGGATGTTTGTCAAACTATAAAAAAAAAAAGAGCAAGAGAGACAAACTGTTATATCTTTAGTCAGTGCTCAATGATGCTTGAACACGGCTCCTTCTCCGTCATCTACTCGTCTTCGTCTCACTGCTGGACTCTCTCTCTCTCTCTCTCCAGCCCGATCTCATGAAAGTTCGTATCTATGGCACGAATGTCATTTCTCGTGGCAAATACGCCAAAAACAGTTTTTGCGTGTATATGGCACGCGATTTTCGCGTACATATGATACGCACTTTTTTGCGTATAATACGCACGAACTCCCCACCCCCCTAAACCTAACCCAGGGTTTTTTAGTGCGTACCATATACACGAAAAAAAAAACACTTTTGGCGTATAAATGCCACGAGAAATGACACTCGTGGTATAGATACGCGACTTCATGAGACTGTGTTGCTCTCTCTGTGTCTCTGTGATATAGTTCAACAGAATGCATCATTCATTTGGTTGTGTTTGTAACTCTGATATCACATCCGAGTGTTTTTAAGTCTTCTCTTCTTTGCGGCGAGACACGTGTGTGCTTGTTTGTCAGATCGACATGATTAGTCTGAATATCCATCTGGAGATAAGAGTGTGTCGTCTGTCAGGAATGTGTTTGGCCTGGGAGGAGACGACTGACCTCAAGCCGCTGAAACCGGTGTTTATGTGCGTCTTCAGCGCTTCCTCTCCGTCTGCCGAACCCATCAACAGTTCACCTCGGTTTACTGTGTCACACACACACTGTTTACTCCGTACGATGATGTTTAGCTCCTCGGCCAGCTCGTGTGATAAGAGGAGGCGGGGGTAGGGGAAGCGGGGGAGGCTCATGAAACACACACACACACACACACACACACACACACACACAGAGAGAATGGGTCTGGACTGCGGTCTAATTTAATTCACGTATGCCATGTTGAAGAAAATCTCAGCGACGCAATGTGGCGGCCAGATACAGGATATACTGGGACTTTTGTTTTTGTGCATTTCACATGGAAAAACAATCGCATTAGGTGTGTGTACACATGCACTTAAAAATGCTGGGTTGTTTTAACCCAGCTTTGGGTCAAATATGGACAAACCCAGCCATTGGGTTACATTTTTTAATTACATTTTTAACCCAACGTTTGGGTTTGTCCATATTTAAAACAACCCAGCATTTTTAGAGTGTGCATGTGTGTGGTATTCTGAATATGAGATTTGCTTCTCTATGTTTAGCTTCGCTCACACGGTTATTACAAGAAAATAGATCCTCACGAGTGAACCTTTCAAGAACATGAAGAACACCACACAACCAACAGAAACATACACACTCTAAACAATGCTGGGTTGTTTTAACGCACATTTGGGTCAAATATACACTGAATGTATTATGGACAAACCCAAATGCTAGGTTAAAAATGTAACTTTCAACTGTATATTTTTTAATTACATTTTTAACCCAACATTTAGGTTTGTCCATATTTGGCTCAAATTTGTGTTAAAACAACCCAGCATTTTTTAGTGTATACATGCTTAACAATAATAATGTTGTAAAACGTGTAAAATGAAAACCTGTATGCATTTTCATGGAACATAAATGAATAAATAAATACACCAAATCTATTATGGATAAACCCAAATGCTGGGTTAAAAATGTAACTTTCAACTGTACATTTTTTTATTACATTTTTAACCCAACATTTAGGTTTGTCAATATTTTGGTTTGAAACAACCCAACATTTTTTAGTGTATACATGCTTAACAATAATAACGAGTATAGAATACTTGAAATGAAAACCTGTATGCATTTTTTCATTGAACATAAATAAATAAATAAATAAATAAATACACTGAATCTATTTTAATCATAGCTTTGTGTGTGGAAAAGACAACAACTGTTCTAAGTTCCCACACTCTAAACAATGCTGGGTTGTTTGAACCCAAAATTGGGTAAAATATGGACAAACCCAAATGTTGGGTTAAAAATGCAATAAAAAATGTGAAAGTTGAAGTTGGTTTACAATTTGAAATTATATTTTCAACCCAACATTTGGGTTTGTCCATATTTCACCCACAACCCAGCATTGTTTAGAGTGCAGTAAACCAAGGCTTCACGGGGCTTACTGCTTTAATATATATCCTTTGTGGCCTGCAGAAAGAAAGTTAAAAAGACAAACGACGGGGACTCGGATTGCAGGAGACCGTGGAGGAGCAGAATACGAGACACGAGGAGTCTAACCCTTGGTTTATACTCGGCCCAAATGGAGTTAATTAGAAACTGGAGAGAGGATTATGTGTGAAAGCAAAGCCTGTTTATTTAAGAGATAGATCCTGATCACATGAAGTGACCTCTGACCCCTGAGAAACACATGCACACCAGTTCTAACTCTCGACAGCCCAATTCATAAGCATCAGATCACACATAAATATACAACTCGGTGTGTATAGGCCTGTGATCTCTTCGAACAGGGCAAGGCTATCATGTGTGTTATCCTGCAGCTCTGTGTTATCGCTCTGGGAAAGGCTTTTATTGGCTCCAGGTAATGGGATAGTTGATATTAGGAGACCCCCATGTAGAGGGGAAGTGGGGTCTGCTCTTTCCCCTTTCACCATCCTCTTTTCTTTGGCCACAAGCCTTCAATAACATATACTATACCTTGCTCGTACAACCAAAACCACTGGGAGACGTTTGAAATGAAATATGCGAATGGTAGCAGGTTTTTTTTTACATTCATCAATTTAGAACAATGAACAATAAAAAAATGCATTCACATGCAAATAATTATTTAATAAACAAAAAAATGGTGATTAGGCTTCCTAGCACAAGCATTTTTTTTAATCAAATAATTTGTACTGGAAAGAAAATATAAGATTGAAGTAAAACATGAACATGTATTTGGTATGTCTGTCTCTGTTTTGTAATAAAGGTATACCAAGACAAAAAAATAATTTTGGCAACTCAGACATTTCAGAAAACCATCAAATTGAAGCACAAATCCGATATTTTGGTTTGGGATTTTAAAATGTACAACCAAAATCATTAGGAGACATTTGAAATGATTCATGCGAATGGTAGCAGTTAATGCATAAGGTATTGTGAACTAACACGTTTTTTACATTCATTAATCTAGAACAATGTCCTTTTATTTAGTTAAAATGCACTAGCTTACAAATAATTATTTCCTTAAAAAATGGTACCTCTTTTCTTTCCAGTACTTTTATGCAACATACAAATTAATGAAAAAAATGAACATGCATTTCAGTATTTGGTATATCTGTCCCTGTTTTATAATAAAGATAGACTTTGCATATACCAAGACAAAAAATACATTCCCCAACTCCCAGACATTTCACAAAACCATCAAATTGAAGCACAAATCAATTATTTTTACAAATGTCTAGCACTTACGGTTGTTGGAGTGTCTGGGCCTGGGTTTGTGATAACAGGTTCTGGACTTTACATCAGCACTCTCAGAGTTCAGATCCAGGCCTTGTTTTTGTTGTCAGGGCCCCTGAGGGTCTCACCTTAGGTTTGCTTCAACACTGATGACAGATTCCAGACTCTACGACTCTTATTGTGTTTATTTAGACAGTTTGGAAAAGGAGTAAAGTCAGATGTGTGAAGAGCTAGAGGCAGTGAATGAAAGAAGAGGGATCATGTTTCGTTAAGAGCCCACCGTTGATTCCAGACTCATTGCTACAGGCGGGTGGAGTTAAACAGCGGCACGGCACACTCCTCCCTCCATGTCATGGCCATTCCCCCTTGAACGAGCCATCCCAGCTCCACAGCTCCTCACTTCAGCCCTGGGCCGGGAAGCAGCAGCTGTGTGTGAGTGAGTAGTGCTTCAGAATAACATTGACTTAAAAATCAGAAGGGTCTGAATATAATCTTTTATGAAAGTGGTTTTGCTGTGTGAATAGTGATCAATATTTTACCATGATTGTTTGTTGTTTAATATTTGTATTAAGTAATATGTCCGTTGATATCAGTAAAACTTAGTTACTATGAAGTTGTAACTCTATAGTTCTCATTTTTGGGACTTATAGATTCTCTTTAAATGGTAATTTATAGAGCACCTGGTTGTGGTGGTACTGTTTTATTCATGAATTATTTTTAAAGCATTTGTATTCTTTTTAGTATTTCTTTTTAACCATAGAGTAGGTTTTTGAATATCTTTTGTGAGTCGTAGTTGTAGAGTCTTGTGATGTATTAGAATGCCTATCTAGGTGCTTAGCACATTTGACCCCACGTAAAAGGACATAGGAAACCTCACACACAGTCATGCTCCAGGTTTTGCTTCTTCTGGCGGCTCTTATTGAGTGTCCACCCTGTTGGGCCCACAATACGGGCTCCGCTCCCCTCATTATCCAATATCGTGTCTGGGAAGAACAGCCCTCAGGGACTAGGGTGGGTCGCCTGCTGGATGACCTACGTGAGCGTGGGGTGACAGGGTCACTGGAAAACTTCCGGGTCGTGCCACACGGACACGCCCCACCAGTCACGGTTGCTTTAAGGGATGGTACCGTGTCAACACTTGGCCGGCTGGACCGCGAGGAGCTATGCTCGGGTGCAGAACTTTGTGAACTGGCCTTCAGTGTGCTCTACAGAAAGGGTGGTGCTATGCATTTCCTCTCAGTTCATGTGGAGGTGATGGACCTTAATGACCACAGCCCAGTCTTTCCCAGTCTAGTGCAGGAGGTGGAGATCTCGGAGACGGCCTCACTAAAAATGCGCATCCCTCTGGACCGTGCTGTGGATCCAGATTCGGGACCGAACGGCCTGCAGACTTACTCCCTGTCTTCCAACCTGCACTTTGCTCTGGATGTCCGAAACTCTGGAGGGGCCAAGCAGGCCGAATTAGTGATCATCAAAGAATTGGACAGGGAGTTGCAGCCATCTTTAGAACTGGTTCTGACAGCCTGGGACAAAGGGAACCCACCAAAATCAGGCAGCACAAAAGTTATAGTCAAGATTCTCGACTCCAACGACAACAGCCCTGTATTCGAGGAGGCCCCGACAGTTATTGAGCTAGCAGAGGACACAGTCCGCGGGACGATAGTCATCAATCTCCGCGCCACAGACCCTGATCAAGGTGCTAACGGAGAGGTTGAGTACTCCCTCAGTAAACATGTCCCACTGGGAGTGCAAAGACTATTTAGCATCCATCCCAAAACGGGTGCTTTGACTTTACAAGGTCCTTTAGATTTCGAAGAAAAGAATGTGTATGAGGTAGACATCCAAGCTCGAGATCTGGGGCCCAATGCTAACCCGTCCCACCACAAGTTGCAGATTAAATTGCTAGATGTCAATGATAACGCTCCTCGGATACACATAACATGGAATCCACAAAACTCCCCTGTTGCAACGGTCTCAGAGGGAGCACCCAATGAAACTTTCCTTGCTCTCGTGATGGCGTCTGATGCAGATTCTGGGGCAAACGGGCAGGTACAAGTACACATTCTGAGTGGATCTGGCCCCTTCAGACTCAAACAAATCCATGGAGACAATTACATGATTGTAACCAATGATACTCTGGATCGTGAGAGACAGATGGAATATAACCTTACTCTTCTAGCGCAAGACAGTGGCGATCCTTCTCTGACCTGCGTTAAGCACATGACTGTCCATGTTTTGGATGAAAACGATAACGCACCAATGTTTACCAAAAGTCACTACCGGAGTGTCCTCAAAGAGAACAACACACCTGGTTTCCATTTCTTGACTGTGGAGGCACATGATGATGACCTGGACCTCAGTGGAAGGGTATCATTCTCCATTAAAGAGTCAAATGAACTGGGGACACCAACAGCATTTTTCTCTGTCCACCCCAGCAGTGGGGCTGTAACTGTCCAGCAATCGTTAGACTACGAGGAATCCCGTTCCTACTCATTTATTGTTGAGGCTGTAGATCAAGGATACCCACCAAAGACCAGTAGTGCAGCAGTGCTGGTTGAGGTACAGGACGTTAATGACAATCACCCCATAATCCATGAGCCACCTACCAAGAAGGGAGTTGCATTGCTAAATGTCCCAGTGAATGTGGACAAAGGGGAGATTGTGACTGAACTTGGAGATAAAGCCCCAGAGGATAACTTCCACGAACCAAGAAATTACTCGTCCCTCAATAAACCCGAAGGTTTTCTGGCCACTACCATTCGGGCCAGTGATCCAGATTCTGGTCTCAATGCAAGGCTCAGTTTTGGAATAACAGATGGCAACCCTTCTAACGTATTTTTTCTTGACAAAGCTACTGGGCAACTCTACGTGAACACATCTAATGCAACAGAATTGATCGGCAGAACTTTTAAGCTGGGCATAGCGGTATCTGATATGGGAACGCCTATGCTCACCACAAGAACCAACTTGGAAGTAACTTTCATCAATTTCCGTGACCACCTGAGGAACTTGTCTCGCGATAACCAGGCCAAGTACAGTTTTACAATGCTTTTGGCCATTTGCCTTGGATCAACCTGCCTGGTATTATTTCTAGCCATTGCTTTGGCCAAGACATTCTGTCATCCCGACAAACGGGATAACCGTGCTTACAACTGTCGGCAAGCTGAGTCAACCTACACCCGTCACCCACGACGGCCTCAAAAGCACATTCAAAAGACTGACATCCAGTTGGTGCCAGCGCTTCGGGGTCGTAAAGAAACCCCACAAGAAGATGAAGCTGAGGCATTGTCATCGACATTACCCTTAGTTGAACAACCAAATCCACAGGGCCAATTTACACTTACACCAACCCTCGCTCGCATGACTCAAAATCAAGCTCATATGGAAATGGACGGGAACCCCCCACTCACTCAAAGCAAGATACTCAGAAAGCCTGGGAGCATAGAGTGGAACGGGACACTTCCCTATAACCCAGGAACACCCTATCGAACCCTGCAAAAGACCAGAAATTCTTCCACCTCTTCTTTCGCAAACTCCCAGACCAGCACACTTAGACGAAACAGAAATGACGATGTCAAGCCCATGAACATGGACCCCTCACAAACAATGGCTTCAGTTCCTAGTAATCAGGCCACATTACGGAGACCAAAGGCCACAGAAAGAAGAGGACGGATGGAAGAGTCCGACCACAGGCAGATCCTGAGGAATCTTGTTCGGCTCTCTATGGCGGCCTTTGCAGAAAACGGTTCTATTGAACTGTCCTCGGCCTCACCGGAGGTGCAAGTAAGAGAATTTTTTTATACTATTTTGAAAATACATTCTACTTTGAAGGCTATTTCAAGGCACGCCAGTTCATATAAGCTCAAGTTGATGATAGTTTCCCCAGTTGTACCGGCCCATATCTATGGCAGCCTTAGGGGGCAGCTGACAGATGATGAAGTGTATACAGAAACAGTTCAGTGTCACACAGTAACTTAAACCTTTAATATGCCTCAGGAGAAAACGCTGCCAATCCTCAATGTTATCACGTTACAGAGTCCCACTGAATGTGAGAAAAAAATGGTCCATGATACTTCTGCACAGTAACATTACACTTCTCTGGCATGTATGGGCTGGAGGGAGTCAGCAACAAATAGCTTGAACTGATCTGATTCTCATTATATTCAAAAAGAAAAGTGGGAATGACTACTTTTCACCAGCTAATATTTCAAAATAGCCAAAAGTGCTGTGCTAGTCAAACGCTGTATCCTTTGGGTCTGGGTCCACCCAGATGCTTACCTCTACCAAAGTGTTTAGCAGAACAAAAGGTCCTGGCACGGGTTTGAGCCCTCACGTGAATACTGAGGCCAGTCAGGAAGAGCGTGGATCCTGACCTCCCTCCACCCCTCTCTCTTTTCCTCCTCTCTAATCCACCCTCCCTCACTCACTTGGCCCAGTTGGCAAATTAGACCTGTGGCGGCTGCAGAGGAAAGGGGTTGAAATGTCACCGGTGCCTGTCCTCGCAGCCAAGGCTGGGTTTCTTCTGTGCATCCTGGAAGGAAATAGCCTCTCTAGAAGAATAGACCCTGTGTAGAAACAGCTTCCTGTCCTTAACAACTTAACAATCTCTCGAACCATTTTTCCCATAACAGAGGCTGGCTGTCGAATATGTTGTAGCTTAATCTGCAACAAACCCTTTACACTTTATTTTGATGGTCCCTTTTGAACATGCTTTTGACTATAAGTAACATTGCAACTACATGCCAACTACACTCTCAGAAAAAAAGGTACAAAAGCCATCACGGGGGCTGTACCTTTTCAAAAGGGAAAACTTTTGTCCATTTTAGGTGCTAATATGTACATTTCAGGTGCTAATATGGACATTTAGGTGGTAATATGTACATTTTAGGTGCTAATATGTACATTTCAGGTGCTAATATGGACATTTAGGTGCTAATATGGACATTTAGGTGCTAATATGTACATTTCAGGTGCTAATATGGACATGTAGGTGCTAATATGTACATTTCAGGTGATAATATGGACATTTAGGTGCTAATATGTACATTTCAGGTGCTAATATGTACATTTTAGGTGCTAATATGGACATGTAGGTGCTAATATGTACATTTTAGGTGCTAATATGTACATTTCAGGTGCTAAATTAATATGGACATTTAGGTGCTAATATGGACATTTAGGTGCTAATATGGACATTTTAGGTGCTATTATGTGCATTTTAGGTGCTAATATGTACCATTAAGGTACCAAAATGCACACTTTAGGTACTTTTGAAAAGGTACAGCCCCAGTGACAGCTTTTGTTGACCTTTTTTTTTTCTGAGAGTGTACCTTTCATTAGAGTTTTAGTAGACTGTCTGCTTAATATCTGCATAACTGTTTATTGTGGTGGTCCTCAACCAGACAACCAACTAACTATAAGTAACTTTGCAATTACATGTCAACTTATTCTAACCCTACCAGTCTACTAATACTCTACTAACACTTTAATGAGAGTTGGCAGACATGTAGGTGCAACGTACTTATAGTCAACAGAATTTCAAAAGGGACCATCGAAATTAAGTGAAACCCAAAACAAAAACCATATCACGATTATGACATTCTTCCAAAACCAAAAGGCCTTCAAACATGGGGTCGTCATGCATGGGATATGTGGTTCAGACATATTGAACACACAAATTGTTGGGTGTCTTTTTAGACTAAAGTGAGTTATATGATAAGTTCCCCTATATAAATGATAAATGTTGTGTCTTTTTAATTCTACAGCAGGTGTCTCAGCTTCTGTCTCTTTTGCATCAGGGACAACTTCAGCCTCGACCAAATTTCCGTGGAAACAAGTATTCACACAGAACTGGCCGGTAAACCTTTTTAGACTTCCTTTTGACCTAATTGATACAACTCTTGACTAAATAACACAGAACACAAAGCAATACCACAACAACCAAACTATCAGAGTAGCCATCTTAGAAGTTGATCTGTTTATCAGGTAGATTACTGGTATAAAAAAGAAATTAGGTCTTCTGATTTGGCGTCCAGCAGAATCCACTATTGTTTCTATAAATTTGACTTCTATTCATTTAGAAAACAGAAGAGAAAGGATAGACTGTGATGATTCATCTGTGCAAGACAGGGCTTGCTTTAAACAAAGACGGCACAGTCACACTTCCTTTTGCTGTGTGTTGTTTGAGTTTCAATGTTAGCTCACAGAAAAATCCCAGCTTTGAGAACACCATTTAACTGATATCAGAGATAATCGTACCTCTTTCATCTGATATTCCCTTACCAAAATGTATTGTGCCGGCATAGTATTCCATCATGGATGTGTCTAAATAGTATCCAGGTACCATGTTAAAAATACCATAATTCACTTCTATACTACTCTATGTCCAATTAATTTGCCAGTGCCAATTTTACATGCTTCATTTTTCTAATCATCTTACTTTGTCTTTCTGAGCTCTTTCACTCACTGTGATGTTGATCATTTTTCTGAACCGCTATGCCTGCTTTATTCTCATTGTGTGCTGTAGGTCAGGGGCTCAGGATGCTGATTGGCTGAGCACTAAAGACAGCGGTCATGGCGAGAGTGAAATGGGGGATATGGACTGGGAAACCGGCAGAGACTCGCCTGTCGACCCATCATATGAAGAAGGCCTCACTAATCTGCTGGCATCTGGTAAATGTTATTTTGATTTGAGTCCAATTAAAGGGATGGTTCAACCAAAAAGGACAATTCTGTTACGTAACCTCATTTTGTTATTCAAAATGCAAAAAAAAAGGATATCAATGTCTATCAATTGAAAGTCCACACAACCAAATATTTTTCATGCGTCAAAATTACAGTCTGAAGAGACAAGACCGCTTTATATGATAATTTAATTTAGGCTTTGATCAATGCACACGCTTGCTTGATTAGCGAGAACAAACCTCATTGGTTGTCGTGGTTTAAACATGTGAGCTTCTATTTAAAGTCCCCCTGTAGTCAATAATTTTAGCCCCCAAACTCATGACATATTTCAATGTGTTTTTTCCCTTAAAATATCTTGACTGTTACTCGACACCCTCACCTCATTAGTATGCGTGGTTCTATGAATATGCAAATGAGTCCCGCCTCCAATCACTCACTCACTCACTTAGAGATTTCAAAGCGTGTTTTTGAGACTGTCTTTGCTTCACTGCAGTTTTAAGGAGGAAATACTCAGCAATGCTGTCCACTTATCAACTTACACATGGTGTGTGTTAAAGCGGATTAAACACACCACATACACACATAAACAACATTAAACACTGGATTTACACCACAGGGGGACTTTAACATTTTTGATTGGCTGTGTCTGTGCATTGATCAATGTTCAAGCATGAATAAAAGGCTAAATTAAACAAACGAAAAGAGGGTGAGTAAATGATGATAGTACTTTCATTTTTGGGTAAATAAAACATTTAAGTCATACCCCTTATGAAAGAAAAATATATTTACCAATATATTACTTGAAATATATTGTAATATATTATTTTCCAATATATTATATATTGGAAATACATGGAGTAATATATTGATGATACACATATTATACAATATATTAAATATATTGCAATATATTGGAATATATAAATACTAAATCCTATATATGGGAATATATTGCCTTATATATCACATGGTATATTCCAATATACTGCAATATATTTTTGGTTCGTAAGGGACCACACAAGTAAGAGTGTTGTTGTACTGAATATGCAGAAACACAGAGCTGAGAGATATACAAACACTGAAATATTGGACTATATCTCAGCCCTTTGTAGCTCTGCAAAACTGTCATGAATTTGAGTAAAATCAGAGGAACAGAGCTTTCTTGATTCTGAATACAACACTGGGTTTAATACTTGTTATAGGGGATTTCCAGATATCTCACATTTATCCTGTTTACCACATTTTGTTTTCTATATACAGTCCAGTAAGACAACAAATAAGGCAGAAACTTGTAAAGTTGATCTAATGTAGGTGGATTTCTGCTGCTGTGTTTCCTTTGTCTATGTTTAGAGTAAATGTTTGTGTGCGGTTCCTTCCATCTATTGTTCTGTGGTTTAGCACGCTCTAAATTAACTGGGACCTTTTTTGTTCTCCTGAATCAAAGGTCTGGTTTGTTTTTCTCTGTTTTATCTCTCTGATGTCTGAGCAGTTTTACCTCAAATCTTGATCTCGAGTTCATTTCCACCAGATAAGTGCAGATAAATGGAGTTATTGTGTCCTGAAAAAAAGAATAATTTCTGAACTGCCTTAAACGAGTCATCAGTAATTCCAGTTTCACTTCCTGCACAAACCAATCAGAGCAGAGTAAACCGATCACAACAGACTGGCCAATCAGAGCAGAGTAGACCAATCACAACAGACTGACCAATCAAAGCAGACTAAAGCGATCACAACAGACTGGCCAATCAGAGCAGAGTAGACCAATCATAACATACTGACCAATCAGAGCAGACTAAACCGATCACAACAGACTGACCAATCAGAGCAGAGTAGACCAATCACAACAGACTGACCAATCAGAGCAGACCAATCACAACAGACTGACCAATCAGAGCAGGCTAAAGCGATCACAACAGACTGACCAATCAGAGCAGACTAAACCGATCACAACAGACTGACCAATCAGAGCAGAGTAGACCAATCACAACAGAATGACCAATCAGAGCAGAGTAGACCAATCACAACAGACTGACCAATCAGAGCAGAGTAAACCGATCACAACAGACTGGCCAATCAGAGCTGACTGACCAATCAGAGCAGAGTAGACCAATCACAACAGACTGACCAATCAGAGCAGACCAATCACAACAGACTGACCAATCAGAGCAGACTAAAGCGATCACAACAGACTAACCAATCAGAGCAGAGTAGACCCTCGCAAAGGCGGGGTTTAGAGACTGAATCCTTTATCGAACTGTCTCAGACTGTGATCTAGAGCTGATGCTGCAAACTCTGTTGGAATGAGTTGTAAATTGCGTCTCCTCCAGATTATCCAGATTATGTCCAGATTATCTCTGAAGTGTGTGTAGATCTGCCGGATCATGTAGAGTTTTCCTCTGTAATATATAAGGGTCCACTCATAAGTTTCTTAGAAGTCATCAAGGCAGTTCACTTGGTTTTCGGAGCAGTGTGTGTGTGTGTGTGTGTGTGTGTGTGTGTGTTTGGTTGAGTCAGAGTTGCCCGAGAGCTTCCTCTGGTTGTGGTGTTAGTCATTCTGGAGACAGGTGGTGTGTGTTCACTGTAAAGTTTCTTCAGAAACATGCAGACACAGATCCCTCGCTCTACAGTGTCTCAGCTTCACTCCTGACTCACTTATAACCCCTTCAACTTCAAGAGTCACACACACTCTCTCTCTCTCTCACAGACACACACACTCTTGCTTTCTCTCTCACACACACAAACGCACTCTCTCTCCCTCTCTTTTACACACACACACACACTCCCCCCCCCTCTCTCTCACACACACACACATACACTCTCTCTCACACACACACCACCTGCATTGTGTTAAAGGGTTAACAATGAGGGTTAAAGCATGAGGTGAAGAGCCCAAGGACATGCGGAAATGTGTGTGTGTGTGTGTAATGCATACCCTAAGGACATTAGTTTTTGATTTCTGTTTTTTCTGTCAAATGTTACTAGCAAGCGACCCTTTACCGGACAGGCAATACAAATACATAGATATAAAACCCTTTCACAGCAGGGCTAACTATAGCGCTAACTGTAAAGATTCAATACTCGCTCTAAGTCTAATGCTAACCAGGGAACACAGGCTGAACGTCACACACACGTCACCAAGTCTGCCGGTGGTTGTTTGGATGTGGTTGGACTCTTTGTGGTGGGATTTTAACCATGTCTGTGGGTTAATGGGTTTGATGAATTAACGGTTTCACTCCATAATTAATTATGAGGCACTGAAGGAGATTTGTGAAATAAAAGCAGAAACGTATGATGGCCCATTTAATTGTTGGTGAATAATAAGTGAGAGGAAGTGATGCGGTTCATCTCTGTGATGTGGCTTCGTCTGATCTTTACTCACTCAAGCTGAGCACTTTTGTTTCTCCACATCTTTAGTCAAGACAAAGCTCTGTAAAAGTCTCAGGCCTCAGTGTGTGTGGCTGTTTCAAAGCTACACATCACACAATACAGCGAAAAACTATTGGCATGAAGAACATCTATAGATCTTTACCAGTCTGCATTTGTGGGAAAAGTTCTTTAGATTCTTAAAGTGGTTCACTGCTCACTGAAAGATTCTTTGAGGAACCTAAAACGGTTCAAGAACCCTTCATTTAACAATTCTTTTGAACATTTTAATAATTTGAAGAACCATTTTACCACTGTAAAGACAAGGTTCTTTGTGTGAATTCAGGCTCTTTCACTCACACACTAACAGAAAACCTGTGAATTTGATTTCAGTTTAACCAAATTTAACCTTATTCACTTACTAGAGTATTTGGGGAATGTTTCTGGCTTGATTTCCTCGTTTAGTGATGCACTGAATCACCTCGTTCTCCCTGTAAAACTGTGGCTAAGAGTGTCATTTTTGGAAAGGCCTGTTTACAGTACTCAAGATAAATGCTCACCTCGTCTGGGATTTCCTGCCATCCTGTTTTTGTCCTACACAAACTCACAGCAGTAAACAAGTGAAGATTCAGGCAGCCTTCAGAAATGTTTTCTTTTGTCAATAGGTCAATTATATTTCTGTCATGGAAAAAATGGGTTGTTTTGTCCACTCTAAAAAGTATGTTAAAGAATAAAAAAAGAAAACGTTTTTTTTTCCCCTAATATGGAAGTTAGTGGGGTTAGTGGGATAATCGCTTTTCAGCGTGTTTATGAACGCCGTTAACTTAACGTTATTACTGTATATATAAATATATGACTTACCTCAACCCCGTCCCTAAACCTACCCGTCACTGGGGTTAATGGCATTTATGACTGTTCCCTTACCATCCTAGGAAAAAAGAGATAGCTCTCCAGATGTAGATCTACATTTTTCTTCGTTTCGCGCGGACATTTGACGGCGTGTAAGATCTTTTTCCTTGTTGGCCTGAAACGAGACTTCCTTAGATTTCCAAAAATATCTTCATTTGTGTTCCGAAGACGAACGAAGGTCTTACGGGGTTGGTACAGCATGGGGGTGAGTAATTAATGACTTAATTTTAATTTTTGGGTGAACTAACCCTTTAATGGCGTAGACATACACGCATACACGCAGATACACGCGGATAGCTCAAAATGCGTAGAGATAACACGGCACTTGACTCGAAAGTGGCTTGTATGTTTACGCAAAAGTCATGATGTCATGTTGCAGCGGAAGGACGGCTTTTAGTTATTTTACTTCATGAAAGTTGCACTGATACATATTTTATTAGCTTTAATATTTGTCTTTTGTGGTAACCGTTGTATAAAAGCAATAAGGTGCTTGAGGCTAGTACTGCCCTACAAAGCAAAAAGGCAGTAACTGCAGTTTTGGTAAAGCATTAATTATTACAATTTTCATGACATTCAAGGCATCCTTTGTTATATGACTAAACATCTTATCTTAAATGCGTGTCGTTTTAGAGAAAAATGGTAGTCATTTGTACAGTAACTGCAAAAAGCCCTAGCAAAAGTCATTTTTCTCAGTTCTGCACTCTGCGTAGTTACTGCCTTTTTGCTTTGTAGGCCAGAGTACCTTTCATACCTTATTGCTTATGTAACTGATTGTAAAAGTATTAAGATCAACTATATCAGTGTATAAAATGTCTCTGCCATATTTCTTCTCTCTGTTTGTGTAGACGATGTGTTCTCAGACATCCCCGATCCAGCATGGATGGCCCGTCTCTCTCTCCCTCTGACGGCTGACTACCATGAGAACGTGTTTGTCCCTGACGGGCCCCCGTCCCCTGACGCCGGGGGCCCCGAGGCCCGTCCCGATGACCCCAGCTCGTTCTCCACCTTCGGGAAGAGCCCGGGGAAGAGCGCTCTGGAGGGCCGGGCGCTGATGTCCGAGGTGAGCTCTCTGTTCGAGATGCTCCTGACCCAGAAGGCCGAAGCCCAGTCGTGTCCTCGCGCTGACGTGCTCTACAGGCTCTCGGCCGCATACAGGCGCTCGCTCGGCCTAGACACGCCACACACACACACTCCCCCATAATGCAGTGCGCCAACCCTATGCCATAACAACAGCAAAAAACATTTCTGATTTCTGGTGCCATGTCATTTTCGGGATCCACGCAACCCAGACAGCAACATAGTGTCGGCCCAGATCCGGTCCACATCCGGATTAAACCATAGACTGTAAAAAAAGACAGAATTCACTTTTCTATCATTGGTGAAAGCCGGCGAAGTCATATAATGGCGCAGATTTGGGAGCTGATTCTGCGCAGTAGTGAACGTGGAGTGTAGACGCGGTATCACACACAAACACACACAATAGTCAGTGTGAAGTGGAGTCGCGATATCAACAAGTTCCCTCCCGTTTAAAAAAATAAAAAGATTTTTTTATTACATACAATTTTTATGACTTGTTTGAACCCAACTTTGGGTCAAATATGGACAAACCCAGCAGTTGGGTTACATTTTAATCACATTTTTAACGTTTGGGTGCATCAATAATTTACCCATTTTTTTACAGTTCACTGCAGAGCAACTCATGTCAGTGTGAGATACAGTGCTAAGCAGAAGTGCGCACACACACACACACACACACATGCTAAAGCTGATTGAAAAGAGGAATACAAATCATAATGCCTTACTTAAAAAATGAGGAAAACTCCAACCTTTAAGAACACCAATTTTCTTTGTGAATGAATAATGTATCGTAAATAAATAGATGTTTTTTTCACAGGGTCACAAGAGGGGCAGATTTATATTTCTAAAGCCAGTTAATTCTTGGATCCAGGACACTAACCATAATTAAAATACATCATCACAAACAAATAGACTTCACCACACACACTGAGTCGGCATGGTGTATTTCAGTTAGCCTAGCTGGTTTGATTAGCATTGAGAGATCCTAAATCCGAGGCCTCGAGAACACTACCTGAACCCTAAAAAACCCTAATAATGTCTTCCTTTTTCAACCAGGTCTGTCTGGAACAGGCCTTGACAATAACGTTTTTACCTTTATAAGAATAAAAAAATAAGACAAACCCTTGCCTGAAGCGTGAGTGTTGATTCGAGGAGATGTGAGAACACTCACTGAACCTGCAGGTCTGATGATCAACACACACTTTCTGATGTCACTCCGTCCTCTGATGTGAATATTTGTGTTTCGGGGTAGGTATGTGACTAATATACCCTGCAATGTGTTCTTTGACTACTGTAATAGTCGTAATTAAGCCGGACACTGTAAATACGCGAAGCACTGATCCCAGGTCAGTTCTGCTCTGAGTGCTAACGTTTGCTTATTTTCCTTTTAATGCCATAAGTTATTGATATCAAAACAAAGATGTATAATTTTTTTGTTGTTATATCATTTTGTATAGGCCTTTTTATTCATAATGTCAGCACTTTTTCTGCTTGTAAACCATGTAAGAGAAATAAAAAAAAAAAAAAGATAAACTCGTCGCTGTTTTTATTTCGAAGTTCTTGTTTATTTAACGGTTGTATAAAGCAGTATCATATTTCATATTTGATCCATCAGGCGTTTATGGCTCACATAGTCTGATATGGTATTGAGAAAACAGCTGTTTTATTAAGGCTGAAAATGAATAAAGCTATTTTCTGCAGATGCTGATATTCATATGAACTAAAATATCATGATTGTAATGCAAATCAATGTGATATACACTTAAAATTCATATATCAATATTTTCTTATAGTAGTCTCTAGCTATATCACTGAAATATCTTATTACTTACCAATGTACCTCCATATAGCATTATATCGACATATTTCGGAATTTTCCATTTCTTTATTTTTGTTTCTCACTCTTCAGTATGTGTTTTGTTTTTTACCCTGTATAAGCTGTTTGGTTCATTTGCACAAAAATACAAAATAATAATAATCTTAGTAAAATGATATTTAAATGCATAGTTTAATGATGTATAGTTTTAAAATATAATGCAATACATCGATGATTGAGACAAACCTTATCAAAAAAGCCTTATAATCAGACCTGTTGGCTCCCCCTGCTGACGTTTAATCGTTCATAATCGCTGTGTTCTTTAATGTTACCGTAATAAAAGTACAACATTCAGAGCGGTGCTCTTAGAAACACATTTAACAAATGTTTTATTACCTAAAAATATACACATTAAAATATATCGCTCCTTTAATGCAGTAGTCCAGCACTGGCTAACCCAGGTGTGCAGGCGGGGCATGTTGTCACGCCATGTGACAACTATGAATTCTATTGAAAAACCAGGAGAAAAAGGCGAATAAAGACAGAGACAAAGTTCAGAAATGATTATTTATGATATTTTGAACTATGCTGTGTTTGTTGGCAAACTCAAAAACCGAGATTTAATTTTAAAAGCCATTATTTTGTATTAAAAAGTTGTTTTTATTGACAAAATATTTTAGTTTGTCTTGCACACATTTTTTTAATAAATCAGATATTTTGAATCTGTCATATGGCCATGTCACAATGAACCTCACCTATGGGGCATGTTGTCACACTTTCATTCGTTCAGGATAAATCAAGAAAATAGTGTACACTACATTCATGAAACATAATTTCACTAGACGTGGGAAATTAATGTGGGGTAAATTAATTCACTGAAGTGGATTTACACAGAATGTCCCGATACGAGGCACACTATGGTGGGATGGAGTCGAGGAATGAATTAGATCAGACGGATATATTCTGATATCCGAGTATACTCAGAAAACATAGATATGGATATACTAAGAAAACTAGAAAATTAAATAAATTAAAAAAAAAAAAAAGATTTTAAATACAGAAATCTGGGCCCTCTGAAAACTATAATCATGCATATGTATATATTGAATATATTAGTTTGACCTTTCAGCATGGAACTGTTGCATGATATTCTGGTTTCTGGTGATTCGCCTGTAAATCAACTTCCTCTACACAGATATTCGATTATTATAGATAAACCCCTGCTAATCATCATGATCTCCATTAGACCTTCACTGGACATGAAAATCACACTAGAACGATCCATAAAAACCACTTAAACTTTATTGGAATCTATGTCACAAATGTTATTGTCCACAATCGGATAAAAAAGAAGAAGACTCATGGGACACGAACAGTTACCAGCCTACAACCAAAGCTTAAAGACGGACAGGAGAGAGCCTGAGCAGTGGGCGAGAGAGGAGACGTGTGTGCTGGAGAGAGAGAGAGCTCATTACGGCGATGATGATGATGATGCACATGACAGTGGGTGTGGATCTAGCACACACACACACACACACACACACACACACACACACACACACACACACACACACACACACACACACACACACACACAGGAGTATTAGCAGAGGGACACCGAGCGCATGCGTTCACGTCCTCCATCATCACAGGCTGTAGAATTTGAGACTTCTGTCCATGCCGGTGGAGGACAGGAACTGAGCGTGTTCTCCGAAAGCCACGCCGGTCACCAGGCCAGAGTGATCTACAACACACACACAAACAAATCAGCTCACACACTCCTGCTAAACACGACTAAACCCTCACACACCTCAACACTCTGGCGCTCCAAGATGCCTGAGATTTACCAGTTTATCTCAATGACATTAATGCACTACTATATCACAGCTCCATCACTTGTTCTAATCTAATATTGTGTGTTTTATGGTTCTGCATTATCTGGGCATCTTCAAAATTAAATGTAATGGCTTTTAAAAAAAAAGAAGCATTTTTAATGTCAAACATGATTCGACTGACCACAGATATTACACAATTTCTGTGATTTATAAAATATAAAAACGTAAGAGTTTATAACTGCGACCAATGTAATAATTTCACAGATAATATACACCTGAATGTAGAGATACCATATTTTAAATACTTCTATCACTGATACAAATACAGCTATTGATTTCTTCAATAAATAACAAAGTGTAAGTTTTATAAGCTCAAATGCTCGCCTCACTTTGTTCTGTGTGTTCTCCTGTTCGAACTCGTTTATCAAAAATGAACAAATCTTTTCCCGAGTCAGCTCATTCATTTCGTTCGTTGAATGAACCAAATGATTCGGAAAAAGATTTGTTCATTTTGATGAACGAGTTCGAACAGGAGAGTCACACAGAACAGAGCGAGGCGAGCATTTGAGCTTATAAAACTTAAACTTTGTTATTTATTTATTAAATGAGCGATCGTTTCGCTTGATAAGACCCTTATTCATCGTCTGGAATCGTTTAAAGCCCTTTGAACAGTTTGCACTGAAACTGTCTTTTGGACCTTGAACCGTTTGGTTCCCATTGAAGTCCATTATATGGAGAAAATCCTGGAATGTTTTCATCAAAAACTAGGGATGCTCCGATCAGGATTTTTGCAGCCGATACCGAGTACCGATTTCTTGTCATGGTGATCGGCCGATACCGACACTTAATTGACTTTATATAAGACAAATACACAAAACAGTTTAATGCAGCCCATAAGGTTTATTTAAACATTGTCCAATACTGTGGAGGACAAAATAAACATTTAGTCTCCTAAAATGGAGAAGTCTGGTGTAATTTTAACATCGTCCAATACAAGTCTGAGCAGGACAAAATAAAGCTGAACGAGAGTCAGATTACTAGTTACCGTTTTTCATATTCGCCATACGTCTCGCGGTGGCTCGTTCTTAAGTGACAAATCAGGTTCGTTGTATTAAATGTTTGATAATGCTCCTCCACGTGAGATTTCTTTGGAAAATACACAGAAAATAGCTAATTTTTAATTTTTTTCCGAAACATCGAAGTAGTTCCACACCGGCGAAGATATGACTGTGCGCTAAATAATTTAAATCCTTACGCATCATACTTCCTCTCACGCGTTGACGTCATCAAATCGCGATCAGTTTGTAAGAAAGGCCAAGTTAGTGAGTACCGATCGAGTCATAAAATGTTATTATCAGCCGATACCGATCGATCGGAGCATCCCTATCAAAAACCTTAATTTCTTTTCGACTAGTTTCGTATCATTCCCACAAAGAAATTTTTAAAAATAAAACGAGTGTGTAAAACGAGGAAGCGTTTGTGGGTGCGTCGGACACACAGTAGTTGAGCAGGACGTACCAGAGAAGTTGAGCACCTCGGACCACTGCTTGCAGATGTAGACCCTGAGTCAACTCATTCATTTCGTTGGTTGAATGAACCAAATGATTCGGAAAAAGATTTGTTCATTTTGATGAACGAGTCACGGACACACATCACAGAACAGAGCAAGGCGAGCATTTGAGCTTATAAAACTTAAACTTTGTTATTTATTTATTAAATGAGCGATCGTTTCGCTTGATAAGACCCTTATTCATCGTCTGGAATCGTTTAAAGCCCTTTGAACAGTTTGCATTGAAACTCTCATTTGGACCGTTTGGTTCCCATTGAAGTCCATTATATGGAGAAAATCCTGGATAGTTTTCATCAAAAACCTTAATTTCTTTTCAACTAGTTTCGTATCAGTCCCACAAATAAATTTTTTAAAATAAAACGAGTGTGTAAAACGAAGAAGCGTTTGTGGGTGCATCGGACACACAGTAGTTGAGCAGGACGTACCAGAGAAGTTGAGCACCTCGGACCACTGCTTGCAGATGTAGACCCTGATGTCGGAGCCACCCACCGCCAGATATGTCCCACTCTGGTCGAACACCAGAGACTTCACCTACAGGACACACACACACACACACACACGGGGATCATGGAGAACAGTGCGAACACATGCCGAACACATGCCAGTGCGTCTGGGGCTTACACCACACCTCATAATTGTTGTCCAGAGTGATGGTCTTGAAGTTCTTCAGTTTCCTCAGATCCCACAGCTTGAGTGAACTGTCCTGAGCGCCTGCAGGACAAACACAAGGGCCATTACACACTTGACATTAGATTCATTAGGAAATGTCAACATTAACGGTTCCAAAGCAGCTCGACCGTAATAAACCATCAGCACGGTCATGTGACCTACCGGTGGCCAGGTAGTATCCGTTCTCAGAGAAGGCGATGGCCGTCACGGGACCCGAGTGTCCGGGGAAGTTCGCCACGTTGGTCCGTTCCTTCAGATCCCAGATCTTAATCTGAGAGTCGGCGGTGCCGGTGCCGAAGATCAGGCCGTCGGGGTGAAACTGAGCACAGGTCAGAGCTGGAGGACGACACGCATGTTTCATAAGCAGGTTATACATATACAGTCACTCATTTCAACCAGAAGCCTTTGCTGGTTGGAGGATTCAAAATATCCAAAGCAAGACACATGAAACCGTAAAAATCTAGATTAAAACTGAGATTGGAGGGAAGAGAAGACTAATGATGCGTATATTCACATTTTACAAACAACTCAGGCCCTGCTGTCCATGACACCATGTTAAATCATTTCAGCTCAATTACACTAGTCCTGAATAAGAGTTCCAAGGCTCATGAATATGTTAGAGATGCACGATATA